TGCTATATTTTGTCCACTTGCTAATAATTTCTGATTTGATATGTAAATTTGTTTATCCTGTAAAAAATTAGGAAAAGTTGGATTTTTTCACGTTAAATCTTATTAAAATTAAATGTTTATCAAATTTTGGGATTTTTCAATCAAAGAAAAAATTGAATGATCAGAATTTCTCAAAAAGTGCTAAAAAATTCTGATAATTGGAAGATTGGATTAGCATTAATACTTTTACACTCATAAACACTTTTTTATTACTTATAAAATATAAAAATTAATTCATTTTTATGAAAGGATAAGACGTAACTGTAAGTAGCCTGAATATGTTACTAACTGGATTTACCGGAAATTTCCTAATAAAAAAAATTTTTTCATAATGCTGCTGACATGATAATGGCGATCATTCAAGTGACTCAAAAATATTTGGCAGAGTAATTAACGACATTAATATCAAGTCCTGACGTTTTTCATCTTTGGCCAAAATAAGTATTTGAATTTAAGTATTTGAAATTTAGCTAGAAGTGCTAGATGATGCATTAATACTCCAAATTTTCATTGTATAAATAGATTAAAATAAATTATTAGACAATTAAATTCGAAATTCATCCTATCAAATTACCAAATTTTCTAGAATAAAAAAGTTGGAGTTATATTTTCACTAAACCTGCTCAAAGTTAGCATATCAAATTGAGATTTATGATACGAATTTTAGCAAATCATTACCAGAGTTCATATAATCGTATTATTTCGAAATGATACTTTATTCAATGATTTAGTAGTAATTTTCCGGAATGATAAATTGTTATCTGATGTGTAATTAATAGTTGTGATTGAGTAAAATGAGGTATTTCAAGGTGGGTAAAAGTTTTTGAAAGTAATGAAGTCTCGAGTAGCATAGCATCAAGATGACATTCAGTTTTCTCACTTTTTTTTTTGAGACAAAATTTTGAGGTGAAAGACATTTGGCAATTTCCCTTATCAAATCAGTTAACCGTAATTACGAAAAATTTTGTATAATACCTTAATATAATATCATTAGAGAGTAATTCATTTCAAATTATTGCCAAAAGTTGGAAAGATTTGGAGAAAGGATACTGTAATACCATCCAAACAATACTTTGCGTTTATATACCTAAATGTTTTAATGGAATAGAAATAAATCTAAAAACTTTAATTGAAACTATTTGTGTAAAAGTAGAAAAATGAATGAATTATTGATTGCCTTTGGAATAAAAAATGAAAAAAGAAATATGAGAATTATCGAATGCATATTTTACCTTCTTTTTTTTTAGCGAAATGTTTATTTTAAGGAGGTTTGATAGAATCTCTCCCTCTCTTTCTCTCTCTCTTTCTTTCTCTCTCCCTTCCTCTCTCTTTATATACATGCAGAGGAAGAAATGACTATGGACAGGTATAATACGCGCTTTAAAAAGTTTCTGTTTATTTAAGAAAAAGACAGTATGTGAAGGATTTAAATTTTCTCATAGTCTTAATATATAATAATAGGTTTTCTAAGGAAAAATAAAGTACAATGCATATGAAAATGTCGATTGAAAATACAAATGCTCTCTCTTTCTCTTTCTCTCTCTCTCTCTCTCTCTTCTCTTTCTTCTTCAAGGTTGCCAAATTAACTCTCAAAATTTAGTTTGAAAAAAAATGACTGAACTGAAAAAAAAAAACCAGACATGCATTTGTTTTACTACAAAGTTAATTGACTAACACACAGACGAATGGAAACGAAAAAATGTAATTTGAATTTTCAATTATTTTGATTTAAATAATAAAAGAAAAAAAATTTTCAGTAAATTTTTTTTGTGTTTCTTTTCTTCTAAACTATTATTTACTTTCAATTTTGCTTAAAACAAAATTTTTAAAAATGAAAAACGATTAAAATTGATTTACTTGTACAGCGCTTGCTTCCGCAAATTTTCGTGCTAGTTGAATAACCGATTCCGGTCGATTGATACTTTGCTCACGGACTATTGGCCGTCGTATACCGGTATCCTGAAGAGAAAAAAGAAAAAAAATGAGTTAAGTAGAAGGATTTTGAAAATTCAATGTAATTCATCCGAAAAATAGTCTCACCTTGTTGGTAAATAAAGCGATTTGCTTTAAAAATATGACAAAAGCTCTCGATTTAATTAAAGATAAAACGAAATAAAAATTTTCTAATTGGTTTACAGCCGTTCAAAACTATTAATTAATACATGCTAAGAAGTACAATCTTGAATTAAATGGGTGAAAATTAAATTTCATATTATTGCCATTTGTCCAACAAATGTAACAAATTCATTTGTCTTTCAGTAAGAATTATTGCTTTTACAGCAAAACTTTTTCAATTTTTCAATCCATGAAAATGTAATTTTAGCTTTTTTTTTGCAGGAAAAATTTCAACAATTGCTATAATTTTTCTTCCTTTCTTCCTTTTTTTTCGTCGCTTTAATTTGCTCATTTTTAAATGTTGTCATCTTTTTTCTCCTTTTTTTATTTTTTTCAAAAAACCATAAAATTTTGGCAATTTAATTTCGATAATTTCTTTTGCATTGGATTGGAAAGAAAATTATCGAAACTATAACTACGTTTGAATTATACATCAATTCATTCATCATCGTCGTTTTTTTGTTCGTACTATGGAAATAAAAAATTTCAATCTTAAATTTTTTTCAAAATTATTTGCTCAAATTCGAAATTACTTAATATTATTTCAAAATTACTCATTGCACATTTCATCGATAACTAAATTCACTAGGACAATTTATCACAAATTGATTTTCGGATTAGACTGCTATTCGTTTCTTCCAAGAAATCGTGATACCAATGGTGAACGGTATTACTCGATAAATTATCGCTATAATTTTCCTTTACAATTATGTTTTTAACTATTAAAAACTGATTTATAGTAATAGTTTATAACAAAAATTACCTAGTTTTTTCAATCATTTCATTTCATGTGTTTAATACAGACTAAATTTAGCTTAGAGAAATTTGAAAAGTGAATTATGACAGAGAATTAATTGTCCCCTCATTTTTCATTAGCATTATTGAAACTCTTTTGATGAATATAAATGATTAAAATAAACATTATTGAAACTCTTTTGATAAATATGAATGATTAAAATAAATTCGATACCAATGATAAATCAGAAAACCCGGTTGTGATAGTGCGCAGTAGTTATAATTAAGTATCAATAAATAGAATGATTAAATTGAATTGATTTTGAAACAGTGATTTTTTGTTTCCAAATAAATATAGATTCAATAACTTAATAACTCGTTATTAGAACTGCAAAAAAGAGGAAGTGGTTGAAATTATTTCAAAAATTATTGCGGAAAAAATTAAATGAAAAGGATGATTGTTACGGGATTATCAATACATCAGCACGTTCATATTTTCTCTCCATATTGTTCTTTTAATTTTAAACTGATTTATACTGAATTTACGCTTTCTATAATTAACCGATATCCGATTATTCAGTAATTCGATTCAGCAATGATTAATCAAGTTGACAATTTGCTGTAGCTAGGAAAAAAGTAATCAAAATTAAAATATTTCAAACATTACTGAATTGAATTTATTGAATACTGAATCGGAAAAGCGCACGAAGTATTTTTGGGTAGGATTAAAATGATAAATGAAACCTCTCAGCCAATTAAAATTTTGGATTTTGAAATTCAAATTTTAGTCTGAGCAGAGAGCAGATTATCGTATCTTTCTTTCCTTCCGTAAAGTGAAATCAGATGGGATTTTCGAGGAAAAGATAATCCAAATAAAGATCAAAACCCTCAAATCTTCAAATTTCGAAATCATTCCTTAAATTTTAATCTTTCTTCTCTTCTTTTTTTGTTCAGCAAATATTTATGAAATATAAAAGAAATATCATATTTGCAAATGTTAGCACAAAATGTCAAAATCTTAATTGAACTTAATAAAAGATGAGGTAAGCATGCAATAAAACAAAGAAATAATTTTGCCATAATATTAAAGATAATATTTTGGATTTAATTATTAAGAATAATACTTTATCCATTAATTAACAAATAAAGTCTATTAAAAATTGGCCATGTATTTATAGGATGGAAATGATTTAAATTTATTAAATGCTTAAGAATCAAAAACCGAAATGAAGTACGAAATATGAAAACTTATTGTGGTATACAAAAACAGAAAATAATTGAAAATTAATGCTCACTGATCTTTTCTGACAAATTTCATCAAATTTCCAAGGAAAAAAATTATTATTTATGATTTATTCTGAAAAAAATCAGCAAAATATTTTTTATTTGTTTATAAATTTTTTTGAATTCAATAATAAATAGAACAAAAAATTGAAAAGTATTGCTTTTCTAATAAATTATGTCTTAATTTCATAAAAGCAATGGAATAAACGATGAAAAAAAACTTTATTAATGAGTTAAGTAATTTCATCAGTATCAAAGGTCACTCCTTATCATTTTCAGTTCTTATCAAAGTCGTAATCACACGTGAATAGGCAAACTTTTTCAACCATAAACACTTTGGCTCTTTTATTTGTACTAGGGACTACAGGGTTCAAAAATAACAAAATCTGTTAGCTTGAAAATGAACTTTAATCAAAACTTTTGATTTATAAATTTATCAAACATTGATAAAAACAGTCTCCGCCTGTTCCTTATTCACTTCACCGCCGTCCTCACGGATCCTCGTGGATCGTATTTTTAGTTCTCGCGGACCACTGGTTTAGAAGCACCGATTTATTATAGTAATAAGTGGTCAATAAATATAACAGATCAATTTAATGTTTCTCTGTAATTGAATAACATTTAAACATAGAAAATCTTAGTCTAAAATTATTTTGTAACAATTAAAATCCGAATTATTCAGTACAATGCTTTCTTTGATTGGTCAAATATGACCAACTCATTTGAAATTTACGGCAAAAAATTGTGTATTTGTAGTGGACAATTGTGACACTTTGATGAAGTTGAATAACAACAAATTTCCAATGTATGCTCAAAACATTCGTAGCATTTCAGAAAATTTAACTTGCCGAATGATGATATTATTCCATTTATCAGAAATTAGAAATTTTAACAAAACGGGTTATTTTCCACTTGTAATAAAGTTTTATATACGAAAACCATAAAACTTTACGTTTCATTCACCAATTAACTAAAAAGTTTATGACGAATAAAAGAGAAAAAAGTAAACAAATAAATGAAACAAATGGATTGATTAATTAGTAACAAAAATTTAACTGACGAGAGATTTTTGTGCATTAAATTGAAATAGAAAACAAATTTGAAGGCTATTTTTTGAGACTACTTTTTTCTTTTTGCAGCTTTCCATATATTGTTAATTTTTCATTCAGAGTATAAACCGGTAAAAGAATTAAATGACAGTTTAGGGGACTGTCCGTGAAAAATAGCGCAAATGGATTGTCAAGGTAAATGCCGAAATTATGCGATCATTGCAGTAATGAAAATTTGAGAAAAAATATTTTTAATTTTCAATAATTTTTTCGTAATTTATTTTAAAGATAAACTTCAACTTATCCTTTTGAAATTTGATTTTTTATTTTCAACCGCTTACAATTCGTATCCTTATGATCATTTGATCAATGATCAACTATCCGAAATATTACTTTTAAGAATCTAAATTTCTTAAAATTGATAGATAACTGGTTCCCAACATCGGAATCATTTAGTCCTAACTGATTACCCGAGGGAATACTTTTTTTAGGTCAAGTTTCCTGGGATTTATTTCGATGTGTTTTTAAACCGCTTAGGGAACTTTTGTAAGTCAATACAGTAGTGGGTTTAGGTTTGATCAAAATTTGTAAATTATATTAATTTTCATAATTACTGCTACAAAATGATGGAAGAAGTGGTAAATATATTTGATTAGTGACAATTTTTCGAATTAACAACTATTATCTTTTTTTATGAAGAAGCCAATATTAGATAATAATTATTTTCTGTTCTGAGTTTTAATTTGATTAAATTTAAATTGCCATAAAAACGGTATTTTTAAGGATTCAGCACAACTGTTATTTTAATTTCTCTAGACATATATTGATAATTAACAAACAGTCTTATTTTGGGTGTTTAGATGGTATTATTTGTGATCGATTGAAAATTAAGTATCGTAATAAATTAAGTATTTGAATTGAATTAGGCATTTTTATCAATATCTGCTAATTTTTCCTTTTTACTTTTGAATTTTTCATGTTTGCTGCAAAAAGAAATTTTCATGTTTTTAATTTTTAAATTAATATATTGAATACATTTTTTTAATGAATGTAAAGAATGAAAGAAAGAATGAAGCAAAGGATAAAATGACCATATGAATGATAACTTTTGCATTCAATCGCAGAAATGTAAAAATAAATTTGAATAGCCTGGCTAAAATCGAAGTGATAAATATTTTTTAAAAATGTAAAGCAATTATTTAAACGACAAATTGTCTTAAAATAAAATGAAATCACCTAAGTAAAATTTAAATGATAAATTGTGTCAATTGAGGAAAACAAAAAGAAAAAAGTCCCTTACTTAGTTTTAGACTCATAAATGAGCTACGGTAGAGCAGCTAACTATTTATATGTATGTGTATAGGCATCAACAATGTGAAATTATCATCAAAATTTCAAAACAAGTTTTTGAAGTTGGATAAAGATGGGAGCGCAATCTTTTGCGAGCGCATATTGTCTTCTTTCTTTTTCCTTTTACCGCTCAATTACCAGTTCTTTTTTTTATCACATTTTATTATCGTTGTGTGCGTCAACAAACGGCAATAAAATATGAAATTGATCAAATGTGCAATTTTCTAAAGGAAAAGAAAAATGTAAATTTTTTGGTTTAGAAGTAATAGTAGCAAAGTTTGGAGAAATAATTAATTCGTAGCCGTAACACATATGCACAATCTGAATGCTTTCATAATCATCTATAACTATGAATTAATAATACTATGATAAGCTATCAGTTGTGAATCGTTTCAAAATGACTCCAGTGATAACCATTATCAGTTTGATACGCCCTAATGACTGTATGCTAAAGGAAAGTTAAAGACTAAGCATATTTTGGATGTATATGTTATCGAAATATATGGTGTAATGCCTATTAATTATCTAAAAGGCTGTGATTTGAATGATAGTACTTTGTCATTTTGCTTATCTTAACAATAATGATAAGTGATGTAATTCTCATAACTGCCATTATCATAAATTTAAATTATTTTGGAAAGTTGTCAGAGGACATTATTACTGATTACTAAAAGAAATTAATCCGGAATGGTCTTCATATGATAATAGTAGTCACTATCAATATATAAAATCAGAAAAAATTTACAAAATTTGAAATTATTCAAAATATATAAAAAGGAAATGATAAAATGAGCAAATGTTTAAATGTAATGAAAAAAGAAAAACTTTTTTTCTTCTAAATTGTTTATCATTATAGCTTAAAGATGAATTTATCAGAAAAATAATTTATTGAAAATTTTACGCAACAATAAAAAAAGGAAATTTAAAAGAAAATGGAAAAAAAAATTAACTAATGCCATTAATTGACATTTTGTTAATGCATGCGAAAAAATTCCCACTTGAATTCATCAATAATTTGACATTTATGACAATACCGTCCTGTTTTCATCGTTCTACGAGTAATTTGCTCTAAATTAAGAGAAAAAAAATCGATAGATTGCTAAGGAAGAAGGAATGGAAAAAGATTAGGCAAAAAAAAACAGGAAAAAAAAATCTTTGAAGCAATGAAATAAAATTTTTATTACTGAAATTGAAAAATTTTTAGATTAAAATTGAATTTTTTAATTTTATTGATTCATTCTAATTTGTGACCTACTATTTTTATTTGCCGTGCAAATCAGTAATTCGATTCGTTTAAAAATTATTTTATCAATTTGTAATGTAAAAATTAGCAAATGGCTTGAAAATTAAATTTAACAAATGAAAAATTCTTACCTCAAAAAAATTCTTATTCTTAAAAAAAAATGAAAATAATTCGTATAAACGTGATGGATTGCAAAATCATTTAGTAATTAAACATGGAATTGTATACGATAATATTTAATGAAAGAAAACTGTTTTAGTGATCATCCGAAATAAGATCATTGGAAAGTGACCATTCGAAAAAGATTATTACGAAGTGACCATTTGAAAGTGACCTCATTCGAACCAAAAAATTAATCGCCCTAGTGAAAAATAACTTTTGAGTGTCCATCATCTGCATGGGTCAGTTATTTATTATGTAATCGAAACAAAAATGATTAAATTTTAAGATTTATTAGAAAAAGCAAATAAAATTTTCCAAAGTAATTAAAGTAAAACCAAAAAAAAAAAAAAAAAATTTAATATACGAAATGAAGAGTCGGATCGATTAAATGTTATTACAATGGAAAAGTTTGATCAGTTTTTTTATTAACTTAATTTCAAACTAATTTTACTAAGTTGTGTTGCTTTATCTTGTATCTAGTTCACTTATCATTTTCCGGCCTACTGCATCCGGTTCACTTATCATTTTCACCATTGTTATCAATTGAACATCTGCTCCTTTTTACGTTTTGCTTACTACAACACTTCCGAATCTAATGAAAAAATCCGGTTTTCAGTACTATGCATTCATCATTTCAGGTTATCATACAAATATTTTAAAAATCATACATCCATTTAAAATAGTCTCTTGATTGAGCCATAATTTGTTAAATTATGGTTTTTTTTATTGCTCACAAACTTAATTAATTGAAACCTAATCTACCAAATATTTGATGAGAATAATAACATTAATAATAATGAAAAGAACTTACCGCATCTGTCTCATATTGAAATACACCGTTGATTTCGAGTACGCGAACAATTTCATCTGGAAAAGAAAATTAAGCATAAATTAATGAAATCTTTCAAGTTTCTATCACTTTAATTAATTAAATTAGCTTAGATTTATTTCTTTGTAGCAAAATAAAAACTTGCACTAAATCATCTCCGAAAATTGTACACGACGGTACAATGTAAGCGTTGTAAAATTTTGAAAACTTTTTAAATTTATTTAAAAATTTTCGAGAAAAAATCTCCAAATTACTTGAAATTAATTGTATAATTAATAAAAAAATATTTTAAAATTGATAATGGGAGCGTCAATAATTATGATAATTACTCAATTCATTTTGCAGCATTAAGAAAAAGTTTATGAGACATCTTTAAATGCAATAATGGGGATTTTTGCGCAAATGGTTGCTAGTATTCGTGAGATTGCTTTCATGATTTTGCTAAATTAGATGACAATGATGATGACAAACCGCTTTGCAAGTGACAATAGATAATTCTAATTAACTCTACCTGTAAAAGCATTGCGAAGATTAGGAGGAACACTTCGTCGTCTATTCTTTTCCAGCTAAACAATAATTCATTATAATTGTTCTTTTTTTGTTTATCAATAACCAGTCGTTTTATCACTTTTATCATTTATCAATTTCAATTATATTGCAAGTAATTAAAGTTAACACTGAAAAACAAGATTATGCAAAGGACGAAGCAGTTTGATATCAAATTTAGTAAAAATTTTTTTGCAAATTAATTTAATCTACCCCGGAGAAGATCAAAAGGGAAATATAATGATATGTTAAATGGGATGATCATAGAATGATCAAAGGATTGTATGATATTTGCATTTAAAAGGTTTTTGAAATGAGCTATGACAAATTACCAACTATGTGAAACGATCAAACATTTACCGATCGCCTAATTAACATCAACAAAAAAAATGAAATAATTTAATCAGGTTAAGTAGCTTGAAAGATACCGTATGATTGTTATACTTCAATAATATTTATATCAGTTATTCTTACTGTCATTATCATTATCGTCAGGAATAAAAACCGAAAAAGAAAACGGAAACCGTATGTTGCCGATTACGTTGTTGCCTTATTTGTGTACGTGTTGTTGCTCGTTCAACTATTTCAACTTCTTGTTGTTCAAAAATATCACCGTAGTTATCATTCATTGTAGTTTTCATAGAAGAATGATTGTTATTAACAGCATTTGTAGAAGCGGTAATTGCTTCTAAATTCTGAAACGGAAATAAAATGGGGAAACCGTATGAAAAACTAAAATCGTTTCAATTTTTAATTCATTGAACTTTTAATATTATCAACGAAATTAGCAAATCAAGGCTAATTTAGGCTAAGTTACAAGTAAATTAATTAATTAATTATCAATCATATTTGCTACAGTTGAAAAGAAGGATTTCATAATAATTTACGCTTTTTTTTTTAAAAAAACAGCTGGTAAAAGCAAATTTTTTTTTGTAAGAACTTGCAAAAAATTTTTTTCAACGAAGTTAACTAACTTGGAAATAGCTTATGAATAAATTTGAAGTAAGCAAAAGCACGGAATTTAAATTACATTCATGCATATATCATGTTATAAATGGTTTGTCTTGCACGATAGAAATGATATTGGTAAAACAGGTTTCGATTTTAATAAATAATTCAAATATCGGATTAAATTTTCAATGAATAGATTTAAACCAAAAATTCTAACTCAATCAATCCATTGTACTTTTATTATTATTATTATTATTATTATTATTATTATTATTATTATTATTATTATTATTATTATTATTATTATTATTATTATTATTACTATTGTTATTATTATTGTCGTTTATTATTTACTAGTAATGTTATTATTATTATACATTATATGAATTAAAATTATTGATTCAAACCTATTCATTCATTTTATTCATTTTTTCTAGCGAATTTGATGAAATTTAATTACACTGCAAGATTAAACAACTTTAAGTCGTACAATAGATAATTGTTAAATTGAAACAAATATCAATTGTAATGTTCGTTTCATTAGAATGGTAGATATAATATAATACTGGTATAATAAAAGAACAGATTAACTTCTAATCACCCAAAATTTTCAACAACATTGATCTTGATTATCTCTTGAGTTTGATGTCATCGAAAACCCTGAATAATTAGAAATTTGCTTATTTATTAATTATTTCATATTTGGTTTAAGTCAAAATAAGTGACAAATGACCTTTTTCGATTGTTGCTCATTTTCCATATCCGATTCGGATGTCCCAGAACCATAACCAGATGACTCTTTCGAATTTGTGCACTGTTTTGGACTATTCCAACTTATATCCTCATTTTCTGATGGTTGTATTTGTGCTGGTTTTTCATGCTGCAATTTATTGCTCATTTTTTTCTCTTTATTTCTTTTTCACCATTTGTTTTGCATAAACCATTCAATTTCATTTAATTAGCATTTAATTTTTCCAAAATGTAATATTAACAAAGAATAAATAACATATTTAAATGAAGGAATTCCGAATAAATTATTTTCTCATTAAAATTACGAAATAGCTGCAGTATTAATTCCCGAGAGCTGTAATAATTCCCGGGGTAACTGTATCAATTCCTGGAATAGCATGAAAAATATTAATTTGTTTACAAATCTCATCATAAATTGGTGCCATTTATCGTACTTTAAATGGACACGTTGCTTGGATAACATTTCTCGTTGAAGACGGATAAAAATCTGTAACTGTAGAATGAGGTGACACGGGATTTGATGATGTTGCTAATTCAGATACTGTAGACTTCCATGATTGCTGATAACAGTTGGATTTGAAAGATCTGTCGAGCTTTGCAGAATAACCCGGATAGAGTGGTGGAGTCCAAAGTAAGCTGGACAAGCTACGGTTTCGGATTCGTCGTTCGGCAATGGATAAATGAAAGTGATCATGGCTTGCCATGGCAGTATGTGTTGTTGGCAATGATATACTCATCAAATATGATTACCTGAAAAGTTACTCGATATTTCGGGGTTGGAGAAATTCTGGAAATGGAAAGATTCAAAATAAAAAAGCGATGAATAAGAGTATGAAACTGAACGATGCTTAATTTTCTATCTTTCCTAACCCATTATCTTATCTAATCAGATTTTATCATTTGTGTTCACTAAATGTAACAAATGATGTATTCGAAATAATTTATAAATTCAAAATTTTATCATATTTCAAAAGTTTCAACCTTTTCAGCAAGAAATTTAATTTATATATGAAAAAGTAAGTTTTGAGGTTTAATTAATTACTCACTCTCGAAGTTATCTGATATCAATCAATATATTGTTGACAATCAGTTTCTTTTTGATTACAAATTTTCATTGCAATTAATAATTTTCGAATTTCCCACTGATTTTAAATAACAAAGTGAAATAAACTTTTCCGAATAAATTAATGAAAAAAGCTGAAATATTTTCAAAGAAAGTTTTAATTCCATTTCTTTGGTTTATTTCTTCATTCATTGAAAATAAAAATTGCTTTGTGTAAAATTAAATTTGCTATTTTTCCTGAAATTGATTGAAATATAATTTCCGGAAGCATCCCCAACGAAAATAGCTTTTAGCTTAAAGAAATTTTGCGGAAAGAAACGACAAAAATTATTTTAAAGTAAAAATTTCGTTGAAATTTTACTAATTCAGACAATTAATTTGCAATTAAATTTTCAAACCTCCAAAATGGTCTCGTTTTTTGGTTTTTCTTTTACAATTAAAATTTTATAGGATTATATTTTGGATGGAATTTATTCAGTTGTCTTCCTATTTGAATATTTGAATAATCCAAAGTTATCATTTGTTTTTCTACTTATTCATCAAAAAGAAAAATGGTTGAAATGTTTTCGCTATCTTAATGAGTTTTAATTAAACTTTAAATTAGGCTAAATTTTATGGATGACCACGAAAAGTGATATATAATGATGCAAATTTTAACTTCATTCTAAACTCTACAAAAATTTCCATAATGTTAGTTTCAAGAAATTTTGTACTGCTTAAAATACAATTATGTTAGCAAGTGGACGAATAATTCGAGTAATTAATATTAAGCCAACATGCAAAATAATTTCTATCAAAGAATTCAAAAATAAGTAAGTTAGGTTAAAAGTATAAAATGCGTGAAATATTTGAAATATTAAACATATTCAAATATTGACTTTTCAAATATTTAAAAAAAAATACAATCTGAACAAGTTGTTAGAAAAAAGAACATAAGGTGATCAGAGATCAGAGATTAAGTACGCTGATTATCTGATCAACAATTGCTTAAAATAAAATTTCGATTGACAAATAAACTTTGTAAAATAAAAGTATCCTCTAAAACTGTTACTATAACCGGCAGTTGTTTCAAATGGTCGGTTTTAATTGTTTGAAAATGTCGCATTGTCACAATTCTTGTTTCCTTTGATCTCTTGTGATTGCTTCAATTCAATTTTACAAAAATATGATTGACTTTTTTTCTTCTGTTTCCTCTCAATATTTCGTGCTAACTTTTAATTTAACTGTGTCATTAACTTACTGTAGCGTGCAACTGTAACACACAGCATACTGTAGCGTGATATTGTGAAATATTTTTATGCTATCTATAAAGATGAATAGTTCAAAAAAGAAAAAGTATCTCAAAAATAAGAGGAGAAAAATTTAGCAACGTGAAAAATAAGTAAGTCGAGTAGTAAAGTATTACCATAATTCTTTCGAGTTTGGCATATTATTATTATGCAATAATTGCTTATTATTATTGAGCAATAATCACTTATTATTAAGCAATAATTTTAGCTTAATAAATAAAGTAACTCACTTTGGATACTAATTTATATTTCATGTAAAACATGATTAGACTCTTTTTAACGCTCAGTAAAGTATTATATGTTAAATATGTGGGAATTATTTTAAGAATTTGTCAGAAATCTGAATTTTAAAGAAAACTTCCAACAAGAGAACGACTTGCTGTAAATAATTTTTACAAAATATAATTAATGAAAAAAGGGATATTTATTGAAATTATTTCAAAATATGTCAACTAATTTCTGTTCGTTAAAAATTTTAAAAAATGTCCAGATTGCACGTTGAAAAAGAAACAAGAAAAACTGGATAATAATGTTTGATATTGTTAAATATGCTAATTACAGTTGACATCGTTGATATTTAATGGAAGGTAATGAGAAATTTAAATGAAAATTTCTAAAAATTTTTAAAATGTCTTCTATTACTACATGCCCTTTTCTAGTTTCCTTCTCCATTGTTGTCATCAAATTTGACAAATTCACCGCGGCGAAACTTATACCAAATGACTTGGATTGTATTAAAACCAATGTTATACTATTGTGTATTTTCCGGGGCTAACCGGATTAGTATTGTAAATTTCAAGCATTAAACTGATAAACGATCATATCAGTTTACAAACAATTGCATGAGATACAGAAGCACATTATGTTGAATTACTGCAATTGTTTGGTAATTTTTAGTGTTTAGCTTTCTTACATAACTAATTAAAAATAATAAATGAAGTTTGAAATTTTTAAAAATGATCAAAATTGGCGAAATATTTTTAATCATTTCAATATTAATTCAATGAATAATACAAATGATATTTTATTTTAATTTATAAATTGCAATTAATTTATGTTATTTGCACTATAAGCTATCAATTTTTTAATGTATGCTTTGACAATTAATTGTGATTACTTCTGAAAAAAAAATGAAGAATTTTGAAAAATTGCATTTTACTGCGAATGACATTTCTTAATTTTCTTTTTTCTTCCGTCCTAAAAGATTTGGAAAACAAAAACACATTCAATATTTCGATTTCTACGTTTTTCAAATTTTAATACAACAGAAAAAAAAGAATTTTAAAAGAGTTTGTTTTTTTAGCAAAATTAATTGAACAAAATAACAAAAAGAAGATGAAAAAGGATAAAGAGAAAGAGAAACCAGAAAACGGATAAAATATTTGAAGGTAAAAATATAAGTGAAAGAAAATAATCCGGCTAGAAATTTCCAATGAATAATTTCTGGAATGTAAAAGAATATTGAAAGGAACAATAAGTAATACGAATTGCTTTTAGAAGTTAAAAATGGAATACAAAGTAAAAGCATTCAAGATGCGATAAAAAAAAAGACTAATAAACTAGAAAATATTGAGTTAAAAAAAAAGAAATTAGATTAAATTTAAGAGGAAATTGAAATTTGTGTCTTCAGTTTACCATTTCTTTCACTCACTTCTATACGAATATAATAATGTCTAATGCCTGATAAAATGATGAATAAAAATTTTGCGATAAAACTGATAATGATGTGAATTAAAAAATAGAAAATTAAGAAACGAAAATCCCAGCCTAAATGAACTTTTTCTAATTAAAATAGATAATTGGATAAAAAATAGGCAATTATCTGATAAATGAATTTTGTCATCTTCATTTTTTTCGTCTCTGTCCCATTGCGGTATATCGTTTTATCTTTTTTTTTACTATTTAATTTCTGAAAATTCAAAACACTTCCTTTTTCCATTCTGCTTTTTTTTCGTTTCTCTTCATAACTAAGAAATTTCGTAAGGTAAATATATATTTTAAAATAAAATCGATACTATTAGTCTATAAGAGAAGTAAAACAGACGAAATTAAAAACATTACTTGTAATTTAATTCCTATTGAATAGTGAGAGTGGACTTAAATTTGAATTTGAATTTAATAAATGTGAAGTGGGAGAATTGGAATTCAGAAAGTTTGTATAATACTGAATGCACTTAATGTGTTCTGAAATGTTTTGTGAAAAGTTTTGCCACACTTTTTGAATTGCATGTTGTTATGCTATTAAATTAGTTTGATGATAAATATATTATTCCAATATCTATCTCTTTCTCTTATAATACAATTATATTTTTAGGACAAATAATCTGATAGTAAATGAAAATGAAAAGGTTAAAAGGTTAACTTGAATTTTTCCCATAAAATGGAATTTTGTTAAAGGATAGTTTCATTATCGAATTTCAAATTTGATGAAAAATTTTCGAATTAATAAGAAATGCATGAAGATAAAGGGAAAATGAGATCAACAAAGGAAAGAAGAAAGATAAGGAGGGAAAGAGAGGAAGAGCAATTTCATTTAATATATTGAAATTTATTTTTAATTTCTTGAGAAAATAAGCAAGAAAGAGGGTGAGAGAGGAAAAGAAAGGGGAACGATAAAATAATTTTGAAAAAATTTGCATTAACTAAAATGAAGCATTTTGTTAAAACAAGCTTAGCAAATAGATATTCACTTCTGGATATAAACGATTCTGGCCACATTTAATTCAGATCCTAGCTAATGTCTAGGCTTAACTATGTTAGCAGTGATGATAACGATAGTTAAAAAAAAAAAAACAGAGGGAGAAAAAAAGTGGAATGAATGAAAAGAAAAATGGCAAGACGAAGGATGTACGATGAGCTCTCGTATCCTTTTTTTTTTCCTAATTTAAGTCTAGCCCAAAGTAACACCAAAAGCAAGCCTTAGGCTTCAGTTTAGCTAGACATAAGATTAGAAAAAAAAAATGGAAAACAAGATAAATAAATAAAGCGACAATGTCACAGGCAGATTCTCATACACAAATAGTATTATGAATACTAATATGCAAACGAAGAAATCTTAATAATACAAATATTATAAATGTGATATATCCTCTAAGAGAGAGAGAGAGAGAGAGAGAGAGAGAGAGAGAGAGAGAGAGGAGAGAGAGAGAGAGAGAGAGAGAGAGA